CCCCTATCTCCTATATCAATCTCGCGGACTCATCCAGGCCCGGGTTTTCCGGCTGGGCATTCGGTTGGGAACATCATATCAAACATGCTAAAAATGCCTTCACCTTGGAGAGTTCCATCGGCTCGGATCATGTCTCCTCACTCAGGGTAGGATTCAAACCTTACGGAGATGGGTAGCTGTTTTTAGTGCAAAGTGCGTGGAAGCTTTCCACGACCCTGGTTCGGCACTCAAGATCGAAGGAAATGCCTCATTGATGTGGAACGTCATGGGTGCCGATCTAAGTCCTTTGATTTCACTCTGCCAGCGTTTGTGATAGGCCGTAGGCGTCAATTCGAGATCAGTAAACAGGCAAAAAGGCAAACGGTCTTGTGCTATGATCCTCCAGCCTCCTGGATTGGAACAGACCCTTCGCCCCGCGTCTCACTTTCAAACAAACTGGTGTTTTGACACCATCATCCTGCTCTCAGACCGCATGCAACACGCTCGGCAGCACGGGTGAGCCACCCTGCCACTCGAAAAAAGGATAAACTTTTTCAATACGACTGTGCCTCACAAAGACTTAGCACAGAAGCAGACAATCCTCAACGTCGTCGTCGTCGTCATGCGTCCGATGCACGACGACGTTGGTCCGCCTGAAGCTTGACGCTTGACCAAGCCAAAGGGGCTGGTAAACTGTAATTGCAAACCTGCAAGACTTAAGGTTAAGATCTGGTCCGAAATGAGGATAGGCCTTCCGGCCATGGGTTTATCGGCTCCATCAGGCCCATTTACAAGGAAACACCACTAATCCAAAGGCTAGTTTGTCTAATAATTGACAGTGCTAAGTTAGTCGATGTGGCGTGTCCCATCATGAGTCGACGACGTTGTCCGGCGCATTTCCTTGAAACCCTTCATTTCTCAAGAAATTGTCATTGTCCTTTTCAATTAAAAATGTGCTGTACCTGTGTATAGGTATCGAGCTATTGCTGTTTTGCCAAGTACGTACATACTCAAAGTGTACCTTATCCTCCATACCCTTCCAGCAAACGTTCAAAGTGACGCTTGAATCAGGCTCCCATGTCTGCCGATTTGGAGACGTTGCTTCTCTATCTCCATAGGATTAACATTCGAATCCTCAAGTCTCGTGACATATCTGCCCATGCCTTATCCATCTCATACACCCCGAAAGGCCGTGACAAGTTAAAATCCTGAGCCAGTCTGCTACAAAACTGTACAACATCCAACAAGCTCCCACTTTAATGCTCGAGCAGACGCAAGCTACCCTGGACAACAACGTTCTCGAGGATCGAACCAGGAGGAATGTCGATGGTGCTGCCTTCTGTCGCGACAATGATAACAGTGCCCTTGAGCGTTACGCCGCGGCCAAGGTTGACGGCACCAGTAATGGTGAGGTGATCCAGCTCCAGCACCTTAGGAATGGAGGGGATTCGCTTCTGGAAGTCTGAGACCTTCTTGAAGTCACCACCAAGCTTGATCAGGGGTGCATCACCGAAGCGAGCGGCGCTCATTTGAAGCTGGCCGTGCTTCAATGTGTAGAGATCAGACTTGACGAGCATCAGATCGGAGCAGGTCTTGACGGGCAAGAATCGTCGACGGGGAACATTGACACCGTGGGCGTTGTTGAAGTGACGGATGGCAGCACCGACAGCGGTCTCGAGCTGGATGATAGAGATATCGGACTCGCCCTTCTTGTCACCGGGAATGGTCTTGCCGTTGGGGATAATCTCCATCTCGAGTTCGTCGTTCTCCACCACGCGTTTGATGGCCTTGAGGTTGAGCCAGATGTTGTTGGTGTTGAAGTACTTGAACTTCTTGATAGACTTGAACTCGTTGACATGCTCCTTGGGGACCTGGGCAATTTCGAGCAGACGGACAGAACCCTCGTAGTCGATGATGGTACCACCCTTGACGTCGGCCTTGGTCTTGTTGGTCAGCTCCATGATGTACTCGGCGTTTGTCTCCATCATGTGCTGGAGGATGCGGAGATCGACGACGGCGCCCAAGTTGTCGACGTTGGAAAGGAAGATAATCTCGATGCCTCGCTCGAGAAGCTTGTCGAGAATGCCAGAGTTGTAGAGAGACTCGAAGACGTCACCGTGGCCAGGGGGGTACCACTCGTTGATGGGAGAATCGTTATGCTTGGGGACGGGGAGGAGAGAGTCCTTGTAGACTCTGGGGTATCGAGACTGGTTGAAGGTAAGGATATCGACATTGTGGCCCTCGTACTTCTTGATGATGGCAGCAGTGTCGTCATTTGTGTTGAATGAGTTCATGAGAATGAAAGGGACGTTAACGTCGTAGGTACGGTTCAAGTACTCGATTTGTCGGACGGAAAGATCGAGGAAGGACATGCCGTCACGGACTTCAATAACGGACTTGGGACCGACACAACCCATGGAGGTTCCCAGACCACCGTTGAGCTTGAGAACAGCCAGCTTGTTGAGGAACTGGACAGACTCGGTGTTGGCAAGATCCTCGTAATCGACAACTTGACCCTGAGCGGGAGGGGCAATGCGATCCCAGTCTCTAAACTATCGTCAGCAACTGTCTTATGGTATATATCTAGTCGGAAAGGATGCATACACGGCGTTGCCCTTGGCCTTGTCATTAAGGTATCGTCGGAAAAGGGCGAAGAAGTTGTCCATCTCAGTCTCGAACAACTGCCGTCTGGTTAGTCTTGACTGATCCAAGAATCACATATTTCGGGACAAAGGACTTGCCTTCTTCTGTTCGGGATCCTTGACAGTCTCGGCGAGGTTGGTCAGAGCATTTCGCATCTGAGCAGCAGCGACGTTGGTGGAGGTGTTCTCGAAAGCCTGGGGCATGATGGGTTAGTATGGTGTGCAAGTTAAGCTCGTTATGATGAAAATATGACACATGTTGTTTGTTGAGGTCTTTCGTCCAGTCGGTGGTGGAAGAGAGGAAGACGAAGCTTCGCACACTCGTCGAGGCACTTTAGAGCCATCAAGCTTCGAGTGAATGTGCGGCCCGTAACCAAATCCATCTGACAGATGTGAAGAGAGGTAGAAACGTGGGCTTGTTTGCAGCTACTCAAGTGCTTGGAGATCCATATGACTGCAACTGAGGGTACAATGCGCGTCATGATTAAGCTTTGGAGATCCAGTGAAGCTTCGTCGTGAGCGAACAAGGTATACAAGTGCAGGTTTTGTATAATGTGACATGTGACGATGGAGAGGTGAAGCAGTATCTTGATTCACATCAACTCACCATGTGACTGCGCGTCTTGCCATGACGACGCTCGTTGCCCTGCTCATCGCCGCTGTTGGGCTTGAGGTGGGTAGGCAGCGCACTCTTGATAGCACTGGCCATTATGAAGGAGTCGGTCGAGTCGTGGAGAATATTAATAAGGAGGAATCAGAGTAAACCGATGAAAGCCAACGGGGAGAAGCAGATAGTCTTGGGGGGATTGAGGAAAGAGGAGGAGGAATAAGAAGTTGTTAATGGAGAGAGAGTCAGCGAGAGGAGAGGAATGAATTAAGGTAACCAGGTCAAGCAGGTCAAGCAGCTAATAAACGACCGGGAACGAGAGGGAAAGGGGAGGCCAGCACCAGCGCCAGAGTTAGATGCGGGGCGGTGATGCCGGGCTTGCAGCTGTTGCTTGTAAACTTGGTGGGGGTGGCGAGGGAGCTTTTTCTTAGGCGGACAAAAGAAGCCGAGCAACGACAGTAGTTTAGAACTATTGACTCTTTTTCTGCAATGTATTGGGTGACAAGTTGTAACAGTGACGTCGAGTCGGTTTTTTTTCTGTCTTGCACTCTCAACTGATTCTGCTTCTTGTCCCTTTCCAGCAATTGCCTCTCTTTTTGTTGGTGCAGATTTAGTAAAGGTTGGGTAACATAGGAGGCGAGATTCGTAGACTTGCGGTGACAACCCAGCTCGCAATGGTCGAACAGACCGTCTACTAACTCGGTGATACTGGAAATACTGCACCGACCTGGTCTAGGTCATCTCAGCTCCCATGTGTTTTTTCCCTTGGCCGTTGGGGAATGGAGGCTTGTTCCCATGCTCTGATACCTGTACCTGTTCATCCATACCAACCAGTTATGATGGCTTGGAGGGAGGAGATGAGATGAGGCTCAATAGTGCCTTCGTCTCCCCTATTGTTGTTTATTATCACATCTCGTATCTTCGAATTGTCGTAATTGTTCATTTCTGCTCACCTTCACGATACCCATACCACGGGGATTAATCCCCACCACTTCACCACTTGCACCAGCGATCTCTCACGTTGTAAGCTTGTGGCGGGCCAACCAGCCAGGATCCCCGGTATCTTGTTTCCCATTTCTTCTCAAGGTATCCATTTACCGCTGATATTATTAGCACTCGAGGTGGAAAGTTAGTGAGACTGGAGGTTCGAGATCGGTCCTTTGCCGATATAATGTTGCAGTCAGGTTGAGTACGTAGGTTATGCACAATGTAGCCGAGAATAATAATAAGGTAAGCAGGCAACCTTGATTGAGATTGGGTGGTATCATGGTTGATTTTTCTTGGTGTGCCGCCACATCATGATATCCCTCATTAATATGCTACTATTTGCCTCCCAAGTGCAAACAAACCGCTCATTGCAGCTTATTTTGAGTGAAATCCTGCTTCTTTTGGAACATCCATTTGCCTTAGTTCAACAAGATGACTAACGAGCTTATGCCCCAAAGCTCCTTTTACCGGTGAACGACAGTTGAAGACGAGGAACAGGCCAAAGCTCCCAAAGCTCACGCCAAGACATAACGAGTATCTCGGCTCCGTAATTGGCTGTTTTATTGGATCCTCGCAGGCTAGGCCCAGTCGAAATGAGCAGAAGTGGATGCAATGAGGTTGATTATGGCTAGTTTTGACGCTATCTTTACATCGGTCGATCTCCCTGTAAGATGCATCTTCTTATGTACAAGGTTCAAGAGAAAGCAAAACACTGTGGTTGTTATGTATCAGAAGACTGTGAGTAATGTCGTAGGCATAGGTAACCATTAACTTTTCCAAGAGGGTTTGAAACACTTGGAGCCCAGCCCACATGCGCCTCACCCGTTCCGTTCCGCGGCCCAATGAGTGAATAGAGACCAAAAGATAGCTGATCTAGAGACTGCTGTCAAATGCAAGCTTTGACCTGCCGTATTACATCGGGTTTATATCTCCACGTGGCCTTGGCATTGGGCAAGAGGCTGGATGAATATCTATTTTCATATTGCTACCCTAGATTCACCACCAATTTTTACCTGGCACAGATATGTATGTATCAATTCAACGTCACTTATTTCTCTGAGTTTCTTAACAGCTCCTCCACAATCACGGAAGCTAGACGACAATCATATGCATCACAGTGGCTCACCGGACCTCTAACTCCTTCATCTGCCGTTATTTAGTGGAGTTGCCATGAGAGTGGCCCGTTTGGACATATCCTCTAAAGTAACAATTTAGAAACCTGGCTTGGACCTACTACGAAAACACCACTTGTTTATAATAAATAGCCGGATCACGATGCCTGACTCAAAGTGTTTATGAACCGAACAATATGTGTGAATCAGTAGAGTAAATGTATTGTAACTAGACATGTTTGCGTGCTTCTCTGCATTATCATCCTTAAATCTGTGGCGCGTACCTGTGTGGAGACGTAGCCATATCCATCCAACCCTTCATGGAACTTTAACCTCACATGAACACTTCGCATGATCAGATATTCGGCAAAAAGACAATCAACTTCAAGTAACACTGAAATTAACTTGTCCCTGGGCAATCTCTGGTCTAATTGCATATCAATTCCTCCATATAATCACCGATCCTACGCAGAGTCCGTCTCACCGTATCTTCATCTCACTCAACATTAGAAATCATGGGGAGCACAGAAACTCTTCCTTTCTGGAACATGAACATTCCCGAGGATCAGAGAACCGAAGAGTGTCCTGATTTTCTTCAAGGCCTCCACAAGAAAGACCAAGGCATTCTTTCCACCCCAGACCAAGAGTACCACAACTTCTCTTGGGCCGAAGTCCGCGAGATCATCCAAACAAACCGCCTAGAGAAGTTCAAGCGTGTTCCCTCAGAGCTTAGGCGCTACAAAGCCTTTGCATTTCACCTCAAACAGAAGTACGGCAGTGTCGCCAACTTCATTCATGAACATCGTCTTGGATGGAGTACCCCAGTGACGCCGCGCGGAGCACCATTTGAGTTCGAGGACGATTATAAGATCCTATGGAATGATGCTCCTTACGGAATAGATCCGAGAATCGCGCACCTTGTCGTGTGGACAAAGTTCGACCTCGTAGAAGATCCCGCCACGGGAGATTTGACGGACAAGGCAAGAAAAGAGATTGATGATTTCGTGACCAAGACCTTTCGAGCGCATATTCCAGATGAGAATGTGAGTCTTTCCTGTCACTACAGATGATTCATTTGTGAGACTCATGTGTATAGGTTCTTTGGTTCAGGAACTGGCATTCTTTGCAATCGGTCAATACTGTACAGCACTTTCATGTCATGCTCTTCAACCCCGATCCCGATTTTGTACGGAAGGTCACGAAGGGAGACGTTCCTCGGGCAGGAATGGAGGTTAAAAAGTGAGTGCTGAGCGTCACTAAATAGGTATCAGTCACGGTGGTTTGTATTCGGTGGAGTAAGTTGAATATGCTGAAGCATTGGTGTTGACAACGCCATAGATGTTGATCAATGCTATCTCCTGCGTTATGCACAGCATATGCAGGCTGTTGAAAGCCAAATTGACTAGTTGAAAAAGAAATAACACATCCAAGAAGCCATATAGACATATGCGACCAGCTTTTCACTTCCCTTATTCCTCCTTTACCTAGGTCCAAGTGCACTACGACTTCCCATCATTCGAGTGCGCAATCTTGTTCCTGGTATCATCAAACCTAACATCTTTCGTCCTAGAAACCTCGATCTTGACATCCTCGGTCCTGACCGTGAGCTCTACACAGGCAGCCTCGGCCAGAGGCACGGCTGTTGGCTTCTCGAGTCCAATGCGAATGATTTGTCCGTAGAAATCGTCACGCTTGGTCCTGAGTTCCCGAGCAATATGGAAAGCCAGACTTGCTGCCAAAGCCTCCAGAGTTTCAAATGACGACTCTGACATTGCCTTTGTGATAGTTAGCATATTTGTCCACTAATCCTTTGACAATATACTCACATCAACGATGATACTCTCGATGACAGCATAGTCATCATGTGCGGTTTGGTATTCGTCGATGCGAATGTTTGTGATGACAACTTGCTTAGCGTTCCGCTCATTGCTGTTGACACCGATGAGTGTTGGCACTCTGATCCCTTCCAGACCCAGCTCCAGACTTCGCGTGGTGATGGCTGAGTCGGCGAAGAGACACGATCCTGAGAGTCGGATTGCACTTCCCATCAACGATGCCTTGGGCAGAACAAGCGAGACCGAAAGCCTTCGGATAAGGCCCATATCGAGAAAAGCCTTTGTGTTTTGTGCGGAAGGCTCCTTCACGCCAGTGTACCGAAAACCAGTAAGGTCAACCCAGAGCCTGTTAAGCACGTCGCTCAACGACAAAGCTGACTTAGGCAGCTTCTCCAACGTGCTGATGATAGATTTGCTGAGGAGTCCATAGTGCACGGTATCAGAAGCGACCTTGTCGTCTGACGATGATGAGGGGAACGCGTGCGTCAGTGAGACCTCTGCGGATATCAGAAGAGGCTGCTGCTTAGAACCGCGACCCCAGGCATCTTTGGGTCCTTGAATCGTCGTCTGGAGATTTCGTACGCGGACAACAGCGACAGGATCGCCTTCTGCGTTGGCGAGACGTCGAGATGACACAAGGGGAGTCTCTTTGCCCATAGCTGACGTTGAGTGATATGATGTGTGACTCAATAGGGAATTCAATGCGAGACTATGCGATGTATAGTAGCTGCAGCTATCGTGATACAGTAGTACAATGATTTGACGATGGTTCTAGAGCTTGATTGATGTGCACTGTTATTGGTCACAAGTTATGTCATTTGTGTGACTCGACTCTGTGTGAGGCTAGAATGACAAACAACGGCGGCGGGGCAGATCAACAGCCAAAATCAGCGTTCAATCCAAACCAAGAATTAGCAACACAAGTGGCTGCTCCTTTGATGATTTGTTGGAAACTTGCATAGATGGCGCTATTAGATTATCATTAATATATCCTTCCTGCCATCACTATCTGTTGAGCCCATAAACCATCTCCGTGGGTGGATGACATCTAATACCGGGTAAGCATCAGATATTTATTTGTATTCTGGTTACACGAGCTATAGATTGAGTGCCACATAGCATTTGAACAACTGAATAATTGTATTTAATTCTCTATATACCCATACTTTATCTGAGAATAAAGATAACAGCGGAACTCATGTTTTCTCTCTCAACCCTCGTCGAACACATGCAGTCACGTGTTCTTCCATGAATGAGTTTCGAATGAGATATAGATACCCTACACTCCTTGGTCATCATGAGAAGGTATTCATTTGGAGAAACTTGGGAATGACAAAATGTCCATCTCTATAATACGCTGACGCGTCTTATCATATGTTACTCGGCTTGAATCTGATCCGTGTCTGAGCTGTGAGTGCTTTTCTTCGTACATGGTCTCATGAGCCACCATGAAGTCTCAGTTTCATCCATAGTCAGTGTGATAACGCTGTCCAACATCAGGAAGCAAAGAGACGACAACTCAACATGACCGCGCCGAGACTCAACAATCCACAGATATACAGATATATAGATTCAAGATGGAACTTCAACACTATATCTCATAATGCTTTAGGGTTTGTTATTGATATATTACCTCCACACCATATCACAATCAGCCGTGATCCTTCCCGTACGGCTGTACCGTCAACGCAATACTGTCACCCATCACAGTGGTTCAAGTGATCGTGTTTCCGCCGCTTGGTCCCCGAGCTAGGGACAAGGGTCTCAAACGTCTTCTGCAGTTCTTGGACCTGGCCTGAGCGAGCCCGGTTCGAGCCTCGTTCCTATTCTGTCCACAAGGATTCGTCTCACGCTCGGTCCAAGTGGTCGTAAGAGGAAGCCCATGTGGTTTTCCCACCTCCTGCAGACTCCTCATCGTTCCCGTTAGTAACGCAAAACGAGGGCTGAGGTTGCATTTCGATGGGGATTCAAGAATTGTTTGTTCAGTTCCAGAACATCGGGCTCTTGGTACTTTTTCGCCAGACCTTCCCGTAAAGGTTGACTGTAGGGTTTTGTGACTGATCATCAGGGTCTCCGGTCTTAACCCACGATATTATCGTGTTGAACCCGTGCAATACCCACGCATCCGAATATCATCCACTGTGTGCGGATTGCTCTCGGTTGCCCAGCCTGGAGTCGCTAACGTACGCGATTGAAACACAGACGGCCCTATGGCGGAGCAATGAGGTTGCACTGACAACCCTATGGAAAAGTCATGAAACACAATAGTTAGGCGACTACTATCTCAGTCATGGTCCTTACCATTCAGAGGTGCTGAAGAGAAGCAAGATCAATACCCAAAATTAGCTTCACAAATCGACAGGCATCAACCAACCCGACCAGCGTCGAACATCTAGAATGCATGACTAGAAGGTGGTGACATGATTCTCAAATCTCCGACTGATATTCTGGCACATGGTCACCCTCTCAGTCTCTGGTTCCTGGGTTACATTCGAGCAAAGCAACCACCGGATCCATAGTGAAGATCATATTGCTGCGGTTATGGCCCAACATCCTAATTCCAGACTGCAAATATTGGCCGAATTGCTTCGGCACAGCCCTTTGAGATGATACCCGAAGATTTCCAGTACTACCCGGGTTCATCGACGAGGGTCAGAGGCATGATGCGGTATTCCTTGTAGTTGTCTCCCAAAACTCATATGTATTGAACCAGGACGAAGCCTAAGTTTGGCTCACCGGTTTCATTTAGGACGGAGTATACCTTATCAGCCACATGATCGGAACATCAGAAATTGAAGAGTTTCTTGTTCGATGTCCGTGCAAGTGAAGAAGAAGAATCCTAGACGACTGATGTTAATGATCCTTCGGAGTTACGGCCAGATGGAGCTAGCCTCCTGCACAAACACAGGGGGCTCATCAACTCCACTGCAACTGGTTGCAGGGCTCGGATCCTCGACTAACATAGCCAAGAAGGAAAGTCAACTTTGGGGTGGGTTTGACGACCGTGTCATAGGCTTCGCTGTCAGTCTCAGTTTCGATTGTTATCCGTCGTTTCAGCTTTTGATAAAAACCACTAACTACCCTTTTCTTCTCATTGTCGGAAGCATTAAATGCCGGGTTCCACACAACGTTTTTGACTTTCTCTAGTTGTTCTAATGTTACTAGAACGCGGAGGACTTGATGATAAACACTCTAAAGAGGTCTTGTTTCGGAGATTGCATTTCAAGCTGATGGCAACGCGCAGACATGGACATGCACCGTGTCAAGTCTTTAGCATCCTGATCTATATTAGCTTGAGTTGCTGCAGATGTGAATGTCTCACCCTCCTTCACAAGGGAAGTTCAGTTGCTGTGCCGCAATTCACAAATATGAGTGTGTTACTGCACCCGACATTTGGCGA